GGAAAATCGCCGAACAGGACGCAACCATCAAGGAAATCAACGAGAAGCTAACGACATTAATCGCCAAACAGCAGCAACAGCAGCAGCAGCTGCCGAAGCCCGCACAAGAGAGGAAACAAGAAGAGATGACCGCGGACGAACCAGAGGTCGAGGTGGACCCGAGAACCACGAAAGCGGCGGGACCGGCTCCCAAGAGGAGAGCCATAGAGGGCGCCAAAGAGCGAGAGATAACGGAGAGAATCGAAAAACAGGACGACAGACTCGACCATCTTGAGGCGACCAGCAAGGTAACCAACGAACGCCTCACCGCGCTCGAGCAAACGGTTCAGCAGGTGACAACGAACGTACAGAGCACGATCCAGAACCTGATAGCGCAGATGCAAGCACAGCTGCAGGCGCACATACAGGCATAATTGCAAAGAATGGAAGCACAGATCATTGCCAAACTGCAGCAATCATGGACGGAGCAGCACGTACAGCAGTAACCACACAGCTAGTGAGAGACCTTGTGGTCTGGCACTGGAACTGTAATGGCTTTACCGGCAAGAGAGCGGTGCTACAGCAACACTTGCAGCAACTAATGAGGAAGCCAGACGTCATAATGATTCAAGAAACACTCAGCGAAGAGACGCCGAGACTCCCGGGCTACCGGTCGCACGACAGCCCGCCGAGCGCAAGGGATACGTCCAAGGGCAAGGCCAGAGGGGTCTGCACCTTCGTTAGGAAAGGGATCACCTTCATGGAACACGAACTGATCGGCAGAAGCGCCATCGAACACTGCACGGTGGAAGTAATCACGGGCCGGAAGAGGAAGGAGAGCACTTTCCTGGTGAACGTCTACAGCAATCCGTCTCACGGACAACAGAAGTTCAAGGCACTATTCCACAAGGCGAGCAGAGTCGCGGGGAGCAATACGCTCGTAGTGTGCGGAGACTTTAACGCTCCGAACCAAGACTGGGGCTACCAAAGAACGACGGTCAAGGGAAGGGAGCTGATGCAAGATGCCACCGACGTGGGACTGAACCTAATAACGGATCCGGCCTTTCCCACCAGGGTCGGCACATCGGTTACGAGAGACACCCCTCCGGATCTTACCTTCGTCAAAACCGACGGAGGATCGAGAGAAACGGAATGGAGAAACACGGGCCAAGAGCTGGGCAGTCATCACTACATTGTGGAGGTCGTCGTACCGCTCAAAGGACAAGGCAATACGGGCATAAGGAAGCATCGCATTACGGACTGGGATGCCTTTCGAACGGCACTACCCGCGGTGCAACTGGACATTACGGACATCGAGCAATGGGCGGCTAACGTCGTTGAGACGAGGGAAGGGGCCACCAAAGAGCTGGAGACGGACGAACGGATAGACAAGATTGAGAGTTGGCTGTCCCACTTGATAGAAGCCAAGCAGTCCATAAAGGCGAGGTGGCAGAAGCAACGAACCAACCGACGCCTAAGGAAGAAGATCGCCGAGCTCAACAGGCAGATCGAGGCCCACTGCAAGGTGCTATGCACCCAACAATGGAACGAGGCCTGCAACGAAGCCGACGGACAGTTACACAAGGGCAAGACGTGGAACATGCTGCGGCACCTCCTCGACGACACCAAGACCAAGGGCCACCAACACAACAACCTGGCCAGGATCTTACACAGGGCAATCTGCGAACACGGGGAGGACGAGGTCAAGCGGCGCTTGGACGCCAAGTACCTACCGACCACGCCCACGGAGAGACACTCGGATTACCAAGGCAACGAGAACGAGACGCTAGATCGAGCCATCGAGACGTGGGAAGTCAGAGTTGCCCTGCAGGATCTCAATGGCAGGTCCGCCGCGGGTCCCGACCGAGTGACCAACAGAGCGCTCAAAAACCTCAACGAAGCGGCCATCGAAACGCCCACGAACTTCTACAACAAGTGCTGGCAAGAAGGAAGGCTGCCCAAGCAATGGAAAGCAGCCAAGACGATTCTCATCCCCAAGCCTGGCAGGCCGCCCAACATAGAGAACCTCAGGCCGATCTCGCTGACTTCGTGCGTGGGAAAGGTCCTCGAGCACGTTCTCATGAACAGGTGGCAGCGTTACCTGGAAGAATCGGAGCTCTACCCAAAAACCATCATCGGGTTTCGGAACAAACTCGGGACGCAGGACGCCATGATCTTACTAAATAACGAGATCATCGACGTATGACGGGCACCAAGGACAACAGAGCCATACTCGGGCTGGACTCGCAGAGCGCCTTCAATAAAGTGAGGCACTCGGCTATCCTGGCCCAAGGGAGGACATACGAGTATTTCAAAGACTTCCTGACGGAACGGACCACCAAAATCTGCGCGGGAGACCTGCAGCTAGAAGAGAAGGAGCTGGGCAGCGTCGGAACCCCGCAGGGCTCGGTGATCTCCCCGTTACTCTTCAACCTCGTGATGATCGGGGTGGCCAACCGGCTAGAAAGAGTAGCGGGAGTCCGGCACACCATCTACGCCGACGACGTTACGCTATGGGTACCAGGAGGAAGCGACGGGCACATCGAGACAACGCTGCAAGAAGCGGTCAACGCCATCGAGGAGCAACTGGACGGGTCTGGTCTCGTCTGCTCTCTGGCCAAGTCAGAGCTGCTGGTGATTCCACCGAAAGGAGCGGGCAGGAAAAGAAAGAATATGGAAATCAAGTACGAGCGTCCCAAGATCATGGTGAAGACGGCAGGACGACAAGAAATACCGGAGGTCGAGAAGATTCGAGTGCTCGGGCTGCTCATCGAGCGAAACCGGGTCAACGGTGAAACGGTGAACAAGCTCGCGGGCAAAGCGGCCGCGGCAATGAGACTCATCAAGAGGGTGTCCAACAGAAGAGCGGGGATGAAGGAGGAGAGCCTGACCAGGCTCGTTCAATCCTTCGCAGTCAGCCACATAACGTACGTGGCCGCCTTTCACAACTGGAGGCCAAGGGAACGTAACAAGATAGACGCCCCCATACGCAAAACGCATAAGGCGGCACTCGGTCTTCTCGGAAGCACGAGCACCAAAAACTTCATGGCGTTGGGAGTCCACAACATGCTGGACGAAATAGCCGAGGCACAGGGAACGGCGCAACTCGAGCGTCTCACTGAAACGAGAACCGGAAGACAGATTTTGCGGGACCTTGGCCTCGAACCGAGGGAAGGCGAGCAGCAGACCAGCGTACCTATACCGGATAGCATCAACAGAAAGCTCAGGGTCTGCCCGATCCCGAGGAACGTGAACCCCGAGCACAACAAGGAGCGAAGGTTGGCGAGGGCCAGGGCTCTCGCGGACATCCACGCCAGAGAAGAAGGGGCCGTCTACGTGGACGCGGCGGAGTATCGAGGGAGCAGCGACGCATACGCGGCGGTGGTCGTCGGGGCATCGACGGGTGCAACGAAGACCGCGGCGAGCGTCCGCACTCGAGAAGCGCACCGGGTGGAAGAGGTGGCCATCGCCTTGGCCGTCTCCGACCCCGGATGCACTACAGCGTTGTGCGACTCTAGAGCGGCAGTGAAGAACTACGCCAATGGTAGGGTATGTAGTGAGGCCGCGCGCATACTACGCAAGGCCGCAGATATCGGACACAAAAGTGCTGTGGCGATCAAGTGGTTTCCGGCGCATATGGGCAGTGACGTGTCGGAACGCGGGAACGCGAACCACAACGAGACGGCCAACGCGGCCGCGCGAGGACTAACCAACCGCGCAGCTGCAAACACGGCCAACTCGGAGTGTTGGTCGCGGTACAGTGCCAAGGACAAGATGACCTCCTTCAACGAAATAGTGAAGTGGTACAGACTAAACAGACAGACTATGCCGCCACCTCATCCAGGGCTTACTAGGAAGGAGGCAGTGTTATACAGACAATAACAGACTGGGTCCCTGCTCACCCCGGTGCTAGCAAAGCACGTGTGTCCGAGTGTGTACGCGAGTGACGTGTGTAGACTACGCGAAGGAGAGAGCTACCGCGGCTCGCATCCTTTGGGACTGTAGCATAAATCCGCGAGAAGCCAGCGAGAAGACGACGATCCCGCCGCAGCTAGAGGCTGCAACGAGGAGCTACGATCAAGGGACACAACTCAAGGCCGTCCAGCAGGTCTCGGCAACTCTAGAGAGGCAGCGACCGAGCGAAACCGGGGAGAAGGGGAGCAGTAACCCCAGGAAGGAGGCGGCGGCCCTCTCGGACCCGCGGAAGTAGCGAGGAAGCAAGACCTCGAGGAACAGAACGCACGAGACTGACGTAGTGGCCGCGTCGCGGTGAAAGTTCGTCCTCCCTGCGTGGAGGGAGCCTAACCGATTCTGCAGACATTTTCAGTAAAGTTGTTCTCTCTCTCTCTTATTTGTAACTCTGTATTTTTTACCTTTTGTGTGGTATGCGGCACAAGTGTGGCCATGTTCTCCGAGTGACACTGCAAAAGTGCACCGTTTTTTCGCTACTTTTGTCTGTGGCTCGAGGTTTGAAGGCATGAGGCGAAGCAACCTGTTTCTAAGTCGCAAGAAAGGTGGCCTAGGTCCCGTCAGACCCTTTAATCGTTTCCTCTTTGACAGAACTGGGAGAAGGTGTCTTTACCATCGGCTCGAAAGCGTGCTCGAGGGACGGGCAGAGGACTCCCGATCGCGCATTTCAAGGTTCTATAGACGCTTTACACACGCGCCAGACTACATCCGCCATTGCTGACCTTCTCTTGTTTTACCGGAATACCGAGCCGCCAAAGACGGGAGTTGACGAGTCTCCAGAAAGGCCAACGCTGGAGAGAAGGACACAGTAGAATCTAAAATGACAATGACCTGGTCTGCTATGTTAATGACAAAGGAAAGTAAACGGAATAAGAGGAAAGATAAACTGAAGGTCGGTTATGGCGGCGCCCATCTCACCTGCTGCAACGCGTCTATAGAAAAATAGCAGCGGCTAAGGAGTTTTTCGAGGCCCGCTTCTCCCAGGAGTATCTGGAGAAAATAAAAGAAAAATCTTGTATTGGGATACACTTGACTTAATAACGCCGCCTCCAATGTATGGTGTTTTCGCTGGGAGTGCCGTTGACTTTGGTGTATTTCAGAGTTTGAGAACGACGATCAATAATTTATTTCTTCGCTTTCACTTTGAAGTGCTCCCTGTCAAGATATGGCTCGTTAAAAGGGGTTTTTACGAGCCATGGTCGACGAACTGTGTACTATGTCTGACCCCTAAAACGCTACAACACGTTTTTTGTTGTTGTTGTTTTTTTTTGTTTCTTTGTTGTTGTTGTTTTTTGTTTTTTGTTTTATTTTTTGTTTATTGCACAAATGTTGAATTTTTTGAGGCAGAGCGGTGCTGAGGGTCGACTTGTGCGTCAGCTGGAAAAGTGCGAAGTTTTTAAAGATCCGGACGCATCCCGACAGCAGAGCATGGGAGGTGTTGGTCCTTCTTGGCCTTTATGCTATATGGCGATTCAGGACCGAGCACCTCGGAGTGTCGGAAGGAGCAAAACCTGCATGGCAGCACTTTGTCGACGGGTTCATCTACGTGAGCTCGCTTATCGAGGCGACGGAACAGCAAGGGTTGGAATGTTGGGCAACTCTGGGAACGCAGTTGCAAAGGCGAACGTTAACAGCATTGCGGCGAAGGTGACTTATCAGGTCACGGTAAAATTCGTTTTTTCTTTTTTTTTTTTTTCGGAGCATATATTCTGAAAGCCTCGCTAAGTAGGTGCGGCTGGGCCTCATCAGTGAAACTGGTTGTGAAGTATTTGTTGGTCCTACGCTTTCCTGAGCAGTGTTTCAAAACGTGATGTTCTATAAAACCAATGCCTTTTTAACCCTTGTACGAAAAAATAAATTTACATAAAAAGTTTGCCGTTAAAAAAGGGTCGCTGACCGAGTGGGCTAGCGCACACCAGCTCGGAGCACGTGGAGCGAGAGCTCGCGCTGCAGAACCCAGGGATCCTGGGTTCAGTCCCCACCCCTGCCCGTTTCGATCATAGAGTTATTATAATGTACGCTAGAAGTTCAAGTGGCGCTAGTGTGCTGACGCAAATTGAAGCAGACAGCAACCAGTCAAAAATTGACTTCCGGTAATGCATTTCTATGGGAAAAAGTGAGTGCATTTTCTCTCTGCGCTCGATCATAAGAGCAAATATCCCGAATAATTCATACGTACTAGGTAGCTTGGAACATTTCTCAGTCAGGCCGACGAAATAATTGGTCAGTTAGGGTGTTTTCTTTCAAATTCATCGCATTAAAAACGGTGCTAAAACAGCTTCGTACGTGTATTTATGTGCACTGTCGGACACTGTTAGCGCGAACACGACGTCGAAGCCTTTCAGCGTGGGGGATATACCTGCCAAACGAACGAAGAACATCTGGAAATTAAGAAAGACGGCAAGAACTGCGCAGTAACACCGGATCAGTAACTACACGTGCATATACGATCAAAATTAATTGAAGGCCACGTAATCTATTCCTATTTTAAATAGGTAAGTATCGTTTTATTCTTTCTGCTCTAAGCGAAGCTGCTTGTTCTACGTTCAAAATATCACTCGCACGCTCGAAATCTTTGAGAACAAGTGCCCGATAAAAGCTGCCCGGCAGAGAAAACAATACGAAGAGACAACTTTTATAGCCCACGGACTTTATTATCTACGTTTTGAATGTTTTTATCCACTCATGCACGACGGGGTCATTTTTATATAGTGACAGGACTGGCATATTATCAATATATAAGCGTCACCGGATTGCTGGCGAGCCTTGAACACACTCTACATTCCTTTCGATTGTAATTTTGCTTCAAATCGTCGCTTGTTTCTACGCACCTGCTGCGGAACACACGTTTGGGACTGAAATGTAGCGAAGTTAAACATCGGTCACTGATGAAGAAAAATGCGCTAACTAAAGCAATTACACTTTTACAGTCTTAATCAAGGTACATACTATTCGGTACGACCCAAATAACCAAAGTGTTCCGTGTTATTTTCCGGCGAAGAGACAAAATGCACGCGCGCTTTCCCATAGGAATACACAGGAAGACTGGAAAAGTAGACTGGTTGCTGTCTGCTTCAATTTGCGTCACGGAAGTCGCATAGACACTAGCGCCAGTTGAACCTCTCGCGTACATTATAATAACTCTATGGTTTCGATCTGGGTGAGCATCGTACCGGCGTGCGGTCGTGGATCGCTACTGCGTGGTGCACGTTATACCCCAGGCTAGAAATTGTACTGCACTGGCTAACATTCTCATCTACAGCTGGGAGACTCGTCGCCTGTTGAAGCAGACCAAGTTCTAGGCTGTATAAACGCACACCTAACCCAATTTTTTTTTTTTTTTTTAACAATGAAATGAAGTTTGGGGGATCTCGGGGGCGCACCAATGTTACCACTCGTGCAGCAGGCGCAAAGCTAGCAGTGGCAGAACGCGATCATAATCTTTACTTGGTTTCAGTTTCAGTCCCGACACAGCCGCCGCTACGAGCTAATGGGAGCAATCAAGCGGCGTCAAAAGCGCAAGTCAGAGGGACTTTTTTCGTTTATATTATTCAGGGATGATAGAACACGTGCAGAAACACGACGAACACCACGACGGTGACTTCTCTGATTGGTTTTATCGGCTCGTAGCGTCGGCTGGGTCTGGACTTAGGGTGAAACTAGTGCCACTAAATAAGCTACGCTTCAGCGTAACGACACTTGGCCATATTGTGTCTTAAAATCAGGGTTGCCAGTTATCTGAAGCTTTATCGGAAATCACAGGAAACGCTTTTCCGCCTTCCACAAATGTTTAAACAGTCCGCGACAGAGCAAAGCAATATTACATGAGCTTCCTAACACCGAACCTAACGATGAGGAAGTCGCACTTTTGAATCATGACGATCGACAGTTGCGTCTGCTCTGCATACGGGCCAAAATGGCGGCGCCCACAACGGTGTCGGGTAACGGAGTGCCGATACTTTAAGGGCAGCTCATTTAGTGGCTCTAAGAGAAACGAAGTATAATCATCCGCGTTCCGCCACTGCTAGCTTTGCGCCTGCTTCGCGAGCGGTAACTTTGGTGCGCCCTCGAGTTTCCCCAAGAGCTTCAAGTCGTTCTACAAAGAGTTGATTGAGTGGTTTTCGATGACGCTCACTAAGTTTCTAATTGGAACCATATGTATCTTTTCACTAATTAAAAGTTAAATTGACAAATTTTAATTAATTTGCCGACTTATCGCAAAGATCAGCCACCCACACAATGTCCCCCTGGCCTTATAACGTGACAAGCCGTAATCGTGCATCTTTATTAATGTTTTGTAATAAATCTCTTTTAATTAAACTGTAATACCAGATATATGTATATATATATATATATATATATATATATATATATATATATATATATATATGGTGTTTTTTTATATTTGCAGATTAGTTTAAAAGAAGCTGTGAAAGTTACACTTGTGCGGTTTGTGCATGTGAGTTATACGGCCAGGGGACGTTATGTGGGTGGATAATGTTTGCAATAAGTCGGCTAATTCAATAAAATTTCTTAATTAACTTTTTAATTGGTGAAAATAGACATACCGTTTCAATTAGAAACTTAGAAAGCGTCATCAAAAATTACTAGACTTTTTTCAGTAACTAAAAAGTTAATTAACGAATGTTAATTAATTATCCGACTTATTGCAAACATGATCCACTCACATTATGTCCTCCTGGCTGTATAGCTTGCCTGCACAAACCGCTTAAGTGTAACTTTCAAGGCTTTTTTTAAACAAATCTGTAAAGCTTTAAAAAACACACACACACACGCACCATATATTTAAATACTATATCAAAGGCACGTACTTTAGGAGTTGCCATACTAGGAAGTCTATTGTATATGTTACGAGAGTTTCACGGAAAGGCGCGGCTTCGTGAGGAGATGGCATACATCTGAGGACAGACTGCGCTGAGCAGTAAGCGGCTAATTGGCCAAAGAAGACGTTGCGTAAAAAGTATATATATATATATGGGTGGTTTCAACTCAAATCGTGCAGGCAAAAAGTGACGAATTTTTAATTTTGATAAAAAAAATATATGTTATGGCGTTGTTTCTAAAACCGCAGTCGACACAAACCGCAAGTTCGTCGGATTTTTTGTTCTCGACTTATGAATTTTTAAAGAGGCCGCGGCGAAAAGCAGTGTTTTTCACACCCGCCGTGGGTCGGATGTTTCGCTTGATCTCCCGCCATGGATTTTCAGTCCACATGATATTATCTTTTTGAAGCACTCTGTGGACACATTTAAAAGGCTCCAATACCATGAAATAATTTTAGGCCTTTTGCTTTTTGTCTGTAAAAATGTCAAAAACTCCTCCTTGGTCAATTGTTGACGAATTTTGACAATTAATTACTGGCGATCTACTTGGGTTACGCCGATATTTATTATGTCCGCGGAGAGCCCAAAACACGCTCTTTATATTTATTACCAAATGCCTTGGCTGTATAAAATATCCTTTGCGGTACCTTTACGTTAATATTATGCAAAAACCAAAAAGTACCATTTTTGAAATTGATTTTCTCAAAAAACCCATTTTTATTTTTTTTTATTTTTTGTTCAAATGTAGATATGATAGTTGTCTACACGAAAATCAAGCCTAGAAAGTATATATTTTGTTTGCATGTTTTATATTTAGGCCTCAATATCGGAAAAAGACGTCTTTGTTTTGCAAGACCTAAGCCAGACATAGCGACCCATGCGTCTCTATGAATTGTGAAAAAGTTTACTTGAATTTTCTTCTGCATTTTGTAATCAATTATAAATGGATTTTGTGGTATTGAATATTTATGTATGTTTTGATAAGAGCGGGAACCATGAGATACATATCTAACCAAATCAGCGGGCCTACCCGAAGGAAAAATCCATCAATGTAACCCTGTTTGGCAGTCAATGTTTTCTAGTGGACCGCTGACTGTGCCTGAATGTACGTCAAGCATGTCTGATTGGCCAACAAGTTACTCTGACCGACACTCAAACTCCAGTCAGACTCCGCTTGTCGGCTTTCTGATAATTTCCTGTTGGCAGTCGGCCGCCGCGAAATGCCATCAGGATGTCTTGGTGGTGATTCTGACTGTACATCGATTGACTCTGACTGTACGTCAGAAAGCTTTGACGTGCAGACAGAAGTACGGTCAAAGGACGTAAAGTTCGTTCGGATACCACTATTTCGTCAAATCTATGAATACGAAAAGTAATCTATGCACGAGAAAACGATTTCGGGACGTGAGCCCATAAAACCGCTGACGTTAGAGATATGACACGCAACCGACCGACAACCTTGATCAGAAGCCCGCCGAACTTCTATCCTCGTTGCCACCGAAGCGCCGAACACGACACTTCGCTTCGCCCATAGAGGCTTCGCCGAGCTTTCATGAACGATCGCTCTCGACTAGTTTTGTTTGCCCGCTTGCTCCAACCTGTCGATCCTGCCCGGGCTCTACAATGTCTTATGTTTTAGTAGAATTTCTACTCGACAAGACCCAGCCTGTTGTGAGTTCCGACGATGTAAGGGACTTTAGCGGTGTAGTTGAAGACGACAAGGTGTACCAGGTCTACTGGGCCGGTGACGCGCGAACAAAAGGATTGTTCTACGACGCGAAAGTACTCTACATGGCAGGTGAGTAGA